AGAACAATTAACCAGTGGAACAACCTGCCTCCAGAAGTGGTGAATGCTCCAACACTGGAAGTTTTTAAGAAGAGACTGGACAGCCATTTGTCCGAAATGGTATAGGGCAGTGTTTCTCAACCTTGACAATTTTAAGGCATGTGGACATCAACTCCCAGAATTCCACAGCCAGCATTGCTGGCTGTGGAATTCTGGGAGTTGAAGTCCACATGCCTTAAAATTGTCAAGGTTGAGAAACACTGGTATAGGGTTTCCTGCCTGAGCAGGGGGTTGGGCTAGATGACCTTCAAGGTCCCTTCCAACTTTACTACTACTACTACTACTACTACTACTACTACTACTACTACTACTACTATTATTATTATTATTATTATTATTATTATTATTATTATTATTATTATTATAGTTCTTTTCACTTAATTGGGAGCTTCCCAGAGTTAGAAGATGGGCAGCTACATCAATGTTTTAAACAAGCAAGCAAACAAACAAACAAATAACAACATGCTCATTTCAGCTATTACATTCAAAAATCAAACATACGTGTTTCCATGAGTGAAAGTAGCAACGACCCTTATTTAACACAACAACAACAACAAAAAGTAAATGCATTTAATACAGTGGAAATTTGTTTAGGAAATATTCATCAGAACTTTTAAGTTATGTTTCAGTTTCTTTCCTTGTCCCTTCATTCAGACATAATTTAAGAAATATGGAAACACGGGAAAAAAATAAATATTCCTAGCATGATGTATAACATCTCAGTATTTTAATTTTAACATCAAATCTATAAACTCTTGGTTGGGGGCATGGAATTATTTATTTTTGCTAGATTGCTTCATACGTTCGGATGGTGCAAAGATTCCATTGCCAAGGATAATTTATTTCAATCTATGCCACTATATACTGTACCTTTCAATCAACTACATAATTCTTTCAAGGTTTAAAGGCTTAGCTGGCATAAGTCTTAAAAAGGGACTTCATAGCAAAAGGACCCACCTGCTGACACCACAGCTTTTGAAATATCTGTAAGTAGGCCAGCACCATAAGACACAGTGGAGCCAGATAGGTTATCAGGAAGAAACAGGTATGATACATTTTGGGGGGAAATTCAGCTGCAAAGGAAATAAAACAGCACATAAATAATATCTCATTCAATCTGCTATTATATGCTGCAAAAGCTGGCTCAGAGGAACATAAACGGGACTTAATTTCATACAAAATGGAAGAGCAAAACCTTATTCATTGTTGAGGTAAAATGTTTATAAAGTATTTTCAAATACTGGATCGAGTACAGCCACTGCCTTATGATGTATTGTAATGTTTTAATTTATATGTTTTATATTATTATTTGTTAGCATGTGGAAATGTTAAATTCCGCATACCTCCTAAAGTAAGGAAGAGACAGTTTATAACTATTTTAAATAAGTACTGATGATGATTGCCTAATAAAATCCTTATTAGGTCATATAGTTGCCAGGAAAAAAAAAACTCAGCACATACTTTTCGCATACCAAAACTTCTTCTGGCATGGGAACTGCCAGATGAGTCTTTGAAATGAAGCAGTGCTGTTGCTTTGCTGTTAAAAACTTTATTAAAGCTTTCCCTGTGCAATTTCAGTCACTTAAAGAAAGCCCTTCAGAAATAGGCCTTGGCTGGTGTTCCAGATCATGTAACAATGATGGTTAGGAGACAGAGGAAGGAAGGAAGGAAGGAAGGAAGGAAGGAAGGAAGGAAGGAAGGAAGGAAGGAAGGTAAGGAAGGAAGGAAGGAAGGAAGGGAGGGAGGGAGGGAGGGAGGGAGGGAGGAGGAGGGCAGGTCAGGGCAGGGCAGGAAAGGAAAGGAAAGAGAGAGGAGAGGAAGGGAGGGAGGGAGAAATGGAGGAAGGGAGAAGGAATGGATTCTTCCTACCATTGTTAGTCTGTATATCCAGCAATTCAGACTGGAGGACATACAGAAGGACTAATTTTGTTTTTCACCTAAAATGGCAGACATTCTTCTAATCTAAGGCAAAGGGCACAATTATTTTTGTTGAATACGGAGTGCTGTAGAATGAGTGGAATTAAATCAAACCATTTACAGGATTAGGTCTGGTAGGGAAATTGAGGGGCTTTGTATGCTTAAAGCAATTATTTCATGCTACCATGTTCAGTCATTGGCCAAGACACAATGTCAGAAATGACTGTTAAGTCTTCAGCAATAGGCACAGGGAGACCTGAAGGCCCTTATAAAAAGGGGACTTGGGACCCCAAATTAATCATCTTGATTTTTGAGCTTCAAGTGACCTATTAGCTACCCAGGTCCATGGCCATATAAACAAAAGCTCTTCTAAGGCAAAGTGCTACACATCAGGTGATCAACAGCTCTTCTCTTGAATGGTAGAACATGACTGAATTACAGTAGTGACACAGCTGATATACTGTAATTAATACTTTAGAGTTTAAAGTCAAAGAAAGGCACTCATTAGTACTGAAGGTTATATTTAAAAAAATCTGCCAACCAATAAAGTCTAATTAGTCTTCTGTAGCAGACTTGATAACCGCCAGCCATCTTTTTTCCCCCCTGAGTCTTGCACATCCCAAGATTGAGGTCACCAGCACTCACCTCCCCAATGCTCATCGCAGACAGTGAACAAGATGGTCTTGTTAGCCAGTCCTGGAAACATGCTGCTGCACTCCATAACAATTGCCTGGGGTATCATGATAAGGCAGGATACCATCCAGATAACAAGGATGCTGTTCCTGGCCCGCTTGGCTGTGCTTTTGAACATCAGAGGATGACAAATTGCATACCATCGATCCAGTGCGATGCAGCTAAGGGTCAGTACAGAAACAGAGACCGACACAGTCTAAAAAGGGAAGAAAAGAAACGCCAGAAAACAACATTCAAGTGAGTGACAAAAGAAGCATAATCAGAGAAGTAGTCTCTCCCACCATGGTTACAATCAGAAAAGCTTAGTTGCCAGTAACCTCTTTAACCCTATTCCTATTTCTAGGAAAGCAGGATTTAGTTGGGCTGTATTATGGCTTTGGACTGCTAACAGGGACTAACAAGATCTAATTTCCTTTTTTAAAAAAAAAAGAAGACAAAAAACAATTTCCATATTCTTTCACATTCTATCATGTGAAAGTTAGGCTAAAATTTCTCTCCCTGATATGCAGGGAATTGTTCACAGCACAAAAGAGAATCAGGTTAGGAACAATCCATATGTGTGCTTCCAATATATTGAGTGCAGGGAGGAAGAAGGATTCTGGTTTAACTTGTTATGAGGGTTTCCACTATATAGTGTTATTAAAACCTTGTTTGCAGTGCATATTATGAAACTAGGTCATCCGTTACTGTACTATCTATTGCAGTGTTTCTCAACCTTGACAATTTTAAGGCATGTGGACTTCAACTCCCAGAATTCCACAGCCAGCAATGCTGGCTGTGGAATTCTGGGAGTTGAAGTCCACATGCCTTAAAATTGTCAAGGTTGAGAAACACTGATCTATTGTATGCAGACATGTTTGCAGGCAACTCTGTTTCTTGTGATGTGGGAATGTAGGAATGAGACTTTTGCCTCCAGGTTGGCATTCCTGCTGACCTGGCAGAAGTCTTTGCATTTGGCTGAACAATGAATGGGGTTCCTATGCTGTTACAGCCATATAGGCTCAGGAGTGTCCGTGTGACTAAAGAACCTCAATTGTATGGTCTGTATTGTGTGAAGGAAATCATTCATTCTCATCCACATAGCAGTATTATATAGTAGCAACTTGTATGCTTTGATATGAACACCAAGCTATTAGGAATTGATTACAAAGATTCACTAATATGGGAGTGTATTCCATTTCACACATCATCTGAATGTGCCATCCAAAACTTTTTTAGTTTTATCTGTAGAGGCCATGGAATTATTCATATCACTGTTTTGCCCACTTCTTTTCATAAAATTATTCTGTGAATACCTGGAACCAGGGTATTGCCCAGTCTTTCACATGTCTATAATGTCTTGACTGTAGGAAGCTAACATTTTAATTGTTAGTAAGTTTTGTTTCTTTCCAAGTATTCTACCAGATTGCTTCGGAGTGAAATTTATTTCCTGCTTTGCTTATTCTATGTACAGTTTAATGCTTTGGTTTTGACTTTATTTAGATGTTATGGCAAATGTACAATTACAAATGGCATTAATCTGACCATGAAATAATTAAACCTCTCCTCATCTAATTTTCAGAATGATCCTTCTTCTTTTGCTGTGAAGCAATATGTTAATCATGAACTAGCTTCTGAATTATAGATTCGGTAGCATCGAACCCA